GAACTGCTGATCTAGCAGTCAGCCTGCAGTGCTGCATTTAACCACTGCGCCACCTTGGCTCAATGCTCATCAAAACATCTGTGGTTAACAAGGCTGCCTCCTTGTCTGAGCCTATATTCTGGGTTTAGCTTGGGGCAAATTGCTGCTTCTCCCACACTTGTCTGAAGTGTCCTGTTTGAGCAAAGGGGGGTGGACTAGAAGACCTCCAAGGTCCCTTCCAGCTCTATTCTGATTGAACTGCCAGAGTCAAAATCAGGAATCTGATTTCTGTGCAGGTTTTTCTTTTTTAAATGCTGGTCAATATAATAACGGCAAGAGTGCAAGCGTGCACGGGAGAAAGAAGCCCTCCCCCCCCCCCTTCTGGCTGCACCCCAATTCTCACACGCGCGTATAAAGCCCAGCCCAGCCTTTTCAAATTTCCCCCCATTGAAGCAGGGTGGACTTCAACTCCCAGCATTCCCCGGCCGGCGTGACTCCCTCTCCCCCCCCCGCCACTTCCACCTATCATTCTTTGCTGCCCCCTCCTGGCCGCTTAAGTGTCATAGCAAGCCCCGGGAGCCGAGAACGAAGGAAAAAGAGCCCTCGGGCTCTGAGGCGCATGCGCGTCCCTAAACGTGACCGGCGACTTCCTCTTACAGGAAGCGGAAAGAGAGGCAGCGGAGGGGCGTGGCCGGAAGGCGGAGTCCGGAAGCGAAGGGACCGGGTGGTTTTTGCGGTCTGCATCGGCGGCTCACCGGGCGCAAGGTGACTTGGGGGTTCCTGAGCATGTGCAAAGCGCGGCGGCCGGCCCTGGGGAAGCCGGGTGCAGGGCTGCTTCATCGGCGCCTCCTTTGTCGCGCAAGGAGTGAGGGTTGGGGCGTTGGGTTTGGGAGCCCTTACCCCCCCTACTTTCCCCTCTTGGACTCAACAGCCCTGCGAGGTAGGACCTAAGGGCTCTTGGGTCTCCATGGCGCCCCCTTTCCCCGGGTTTCTCTGGGCTGCCTGGATTTTATACAGGTAGGAATGGAATAGGAATAATAATAGAATAGAAAAAGATAATAGAAAAGATAAGAATAAGAATAATAGAACAGGATAAGAATTGAATAGCAATAATAGAAAATAAATAATAGAATAAGACATAGAATAAAAAATAGAATTAGAAATAGAATAGAAAAAGAAAAGAAAAAGAATAATAGATGAGAATAAGAATAATAGAATAGGAACTCAAATAGAAATAGTAGAAAAGAAAGAATAAGAAATACAATAAAAATAGAATTAGAAATAGAATAGAAAAAGAATAAAAAAGAACAATAGAATGGATAAGAAAAGAATAGATAAGAATAGAATAAAAAATAAGAGTAATAATAGAATAGAATAAGAATTGAATAGCAATAATAGAAAAGAAATAATAGAATAAGAAATAGAATAAAAAATAGAATTAGAAATAGAATAGAAAAAGAAAAGAAAAAGAATAATAGAATAGATGAGAATAAGAATAATGGAATAGGAAGAATCGAATAGAAAAGAAATAATAGAATAAGAATTATAATAAGAAATAGAATTAGAAATAGAATAGAAAAAGAAAAGAAAAAAGGAATAATAGAATAGATACGAATAATAGAATTGAGAAGAATAGAATAAGAAAATAAGAATAAGAATAGAATAAGAATTGAATAGAAATAGCAGAAAAGAAATAATAGAATAAGAAATACAATAAAAATAGAATTAGAAATAGAATAGAAAAAGAAAAGAAAAAGAATAATAGATGAGAATAAGAATAATAGAATGGGAAGAATTGAATAGAAATAGTAGAAAAGAAATAATAGAATAAGAAATACAATAAAAATAGAATTAGAAAAATAATAGAAAAAGAAAAGAAAAAAATAATAGTAGATAAGAATAGAATAGACAAGAATAGAATAAGAAAATAAGAATAAGAATAGAATAGAATAAGAATTGAATAGAAATAGCAGAAAAGAAATAATAGAATAAGAAATAGAATAAAAAATAGAATTAGAAATAGAATAGCGATTAGGAATAGAATTAGAAATAGAATAAACACCCTCACATTTTGTAAATATTTAAGTATATCTTTTCACGTGACAACACTGAAGAAATGACATGTATATTATCATTATTGCTATAACTATTGTTTTCTTTGGCCAAGCACCTGAATTTTAATGGGGATGCTGCAACGGTCGTAAGGCTGAGAAACAGCCATGCGCCCATGTTTTTTCAGTGCTGTCGTAACTTCAAACGGTCAATAAACGGACTGTTTTGGGAGCCAAGGTCTATCTGCCTGTTCCCCTCAAGGCATCTGGTGGTTTTCTTTAGCTAAAGTTTGTTTCCTCCTCTTCTTCCTTCTTTTACAAGGTCAACTAGCCAGCCACCGAAATAAAAGATTGCCCATCGCCATCCCCTGACCCCCCTCGACAGCCATGGGGAACACCAGCAGTGAACGCCAGGGGGGCGAGCGCCAGGGGGGTCACAAGACCCCTCGAAGAGACAGCCCTGGGGGTTCAAAGGAGGGAGACAGGCCCAAGATTTTGATGGACAGTCCCGAAGATGCTGACCTCTACAATGCTGAAGAGATGAAGGTAGGTGACAAGTCTTGCTGCGGAAGAAATATCCTAACGCTCAACGTTGCTACCTCAAAAACCCAATATTCCCCATCCATATCTCGGAATGAGAGTGCCGCGGTGGCCTAGAGGTAGAGCTCTCGCCTCACAATCAGGAGGCTGTGAGTTCAATCCTAGGTAGAGGCAGATATTTCTCTTTCTCTCTCTCTCTCTGGGCACAATGAGAATATGTCTGCTGAATAAAACTCCGCATTGGCAACAGGAAAGGCATCTGGCCAGTAAATATTCAGTTGTCCAGACTCCACCCCCACAATCTCACACACAACTATGAAAAAGAAATGTGGGAACTTTGAACCCGGGCCATCAGTAGCTTTTGGGGAGTCCGTCGTAACTTTGAACGGCCATTAAACCCCCAGTCGTAAGATGAGGACAACCCAAAGTAGCCGGGAGGCCAAGCTGTCATCCTTGGTGTGCTGATATACGGTAGACCCTGCCTGGAAGTCCCATCTCCTCTTTAGGGGACGGAACCTGTAGCAAGGCCTCCGATGTTACCACGGTCTCTCACAAGCTATGATCTCTCGGAACAAAACCTGGCCTGTTTCTGCTGTTTTCTAGGCTTCGATGGAGAAGCACGAATTCCTCGCTTGGCAACACGATCTGGAGGTGAGCGACAAGGCTCCCACCCAGGCCCAGCCGACTGTCTTCCGGTGGACTGGAGGAGGCAAGGAAGTTTATTTATCGGGCTCCTTCAACAACTGGAACAAACTCCCGCTGACTCGGAGGTAAGCCAGGAGTCTCTCGAGCTTCCTATCCCGTGGGGGAAGAATTGGTTCGTACAGGAGCGGCGTTGGTTAGAGAGAGAGAGAGAGAAAAAAAAAGTTAGAGAGAGAAAGAGGGAGAGAGAAAGAAAGAGGAAGAGAGAAAAGGAGAGAGAGAGAAAGAAAGAGGGAGAGAGAGAAAAGAGGAAGAGAGAGAAAGAGGGAGAGAGAAAGAGACAGAGAGACAGAAAGAGAGAAAGACGAGAGGGAGAGAGAGAGAGAAAGAGGGAGAGAGAAAGAAAGAGGGAGAGAGAAAGACGAGAGAGGGAGAGAGAGAGAGAGAAAGAGGGAGAGACAGAAAGAGGGAGAGAGAAAGAGGGAGAGAAAGAGGGAGAGAGAAAGAGGGAGAGAGAAAGAGACAGAGAGAGAGAGGAGATGAGAGAGGGAGGGAGAGAGAGAGAAAGAAAGAGAGAGAGAGAGAAAAGGGGGAGAGAGAAAGAGACAGAGAGAGAGAGAGAGGAGATGAGAGAGGGAGGGAGAGAGAGAGAAAGAAAGAGAGAGAGAGAGAAAAGGGGGAGAGAGAAAGAGGGAGAGAGAAAGAGACAGAGAGAGAGACAGAAAGAGAAAGAGAGATGAGAGAGGGAGAGAGGGAGAGAAAGAAAGAGGGAGAGAGAAAAAGAGGGAGAGACGAGAGGGAGAGAGAGAGAGAGAAAGAAAGAGGGAGAGAGAAAGACGAGAGAGGGAGAGAGAGAGAGAGAAAGAANCTGGGCCACAACACCTTTCTAATGCTGATGTTGTTACCTAGTTGGGTAATTAAATGTCTGCAAGAAAATAACTTAGCTCAGAGAGCACTGAGCCCATAATTGTCGTCCTTCTCTTCCATTCGGCCAACCCCACACTCTTCTAATACTGATTTTGTTACCTAGTTGGGTAATGAAACGCCCGCAAGAAAATAATCAAGCTCAGAGAGTACCAAGGACCTCACAGGGTTTTTTTTCTCTTTACTAAACAGAGGGCTATAATACGACCGGGGGGGGGGGGATGTATTATTTTCCATAATAAACCTCTACAGGTAGTTCTTGAAGGTTGCATTTCCCAGGGTTATATGATCCCCTTTTGTGACTTTCTGACAAGTAGTGTCAAATGGGGAAACCAGAGTCATTTAACAACCATGTTTACTAACTTAAGATAGCAGCCTTCCAATATTTGAGGGACTGCCCCAGAGAGGAGGAAGGGGGTCAAGCTGTTTTCCAAAGCCCCTGAAGGCCAGGCAAGGAATAATGGATGGAAACTGACCAAGGAGAGATTCAACCTGGAAATAAGGAGGAATTTCCTGACAGGAAGAACCATCAACTCATGGAACAGAAGTTTCCTTTGGAAGTTGTGGGAGCTTCATCCCTGGAGGCTTTTTAAAAGAGGCTGGACTGCCCGTATGTCAGAAATGGTGCAGGGTCTCCTGCTCGGGTGGGGGGGTTGGGCTAGATGACCTACAAGGTCCCTTCAAACACTGTTCATCTGTATCTAACTGCAGGGATGCGTTTAACCACTGTGGGGAAAGTTGTGATTGGGTAGAAGAATCACTTGCTACTGTTAGTAAAACAAGCCCCCCCCTCTCTCTCGTTCCCTCTCCCTCCCTCCCTCTCTCTCCCTCCCTCTCTTGTCCCTCTTTCCCCCCTCTCTCGTCCCTCCCTCACTCTTCCTCCCTCCTTCCCTCTTCCTCCCTCTCCCTCTCTCTCTCTTGTCCCTCTTTCCCCCTCTCTCTCATCCTTCCCTCTTCCTCCCTCCCTCTCTCTCTCTCTCGTCTCTCCCTCCTCCTCTCTTGTCCCTCCCTCCTTCCCTCTTCATCCCTCCCTCTCTCTCTCGTCCCTCCTTCCCCCTCTCTTGTCCCTCCCTCCTCCCCTCTTCCTCCCTCCCTCTCTCTCTCGTCCCTCCCTCTCTCTCATCCCTCCTT